GCGCGAGCGGCGCCCCCGCCCCGGCGCCGCCGCCGCCGCCCAGGCCGCTCGCGACGCCGCCGCGCAGCCGCCCGGCCTGCAGGGCCTCGAGCGCCGCGGCTGCGTTGGTCGCCGCCGTCGCGCCGCCCTCCTCATCCTCGTCGTTAGCGAAACGCTCCGCAACATTCCGCAGGGCCAGGGCCGCCCTCGCGCACGCGACGGCCGCGTTTGGCGAGCGGAAGTGCATGCAGCAGATCGCGTCAATGCATTCTTCGACCGCGCACGGCATGCAGCCGCGCTCCAGCGGCCAGCCCGGGTCGCCGCCGCCGATCGCGTGCAGCAGCTGCAGCGCCGCGCCCGCCATTGCGCCAGGGGGGCCCGGGTCGCCCGCGCCGTCGATGGCCGACGCCGCCAGCCAGGCAAGCGCGCCAGGCGTGGCGGCCAGGTCGTACTGCGCGACGGGCGAGCGCAGCGCCATGACCCGCGCCCGATCCAGCCCCTCAAAACTACCTGCCGCGAGGCCGCCCCACACAAGGGCCCGCAACTCTGCATCAGGCGGCAGCTCCTCCGCGGCCACTTCCTTTGCTGCCTCGGCTGCGGAGGTTGTAATCACGAGCCCCGTGGCAGGCGAAGAGAAGGGATCCGTGAGCGCGTAGGCGATGGCGCCGAGGGCGCCGGCGACCTGGGCGCGAATATATTCGGGGGGAACGGGCGCCAGGTCGCCCGCGGCGCCGCCGCCCGGCGCCGCGAACGCGGCGGGTCCGGCGCGCGCGGCCTTCACCAGCGCACGCAGCGCGCCGTGCCGCGGCGACGCGAGCTCGACCGTCCAACGGCCCGAGCCGTCGATAGCGATGCAGAACGCCACCAGCGCCGCCGCATTGTGCAGCAGGTGCGCGCGGTCGCCGTCGCGCGCGCGCCCCTTGGCGCTGCACGCGGCGCGCAGCGCGGCGGCGACGGCCGCCGCGGAGCCCGGCGCGGACATGACCACTGGCGCCGGCGCAGCTGAGGAGGTGATTTCATGGCGCGCGGCGGCGTGCAGCAGGCCTGCGGCGAGGGCGGGACTTGTGGAGGGCCGGCCGGCCTTTCGGAGGACGGGCGCCCCCGCCAGCACCGCCAGCAGCGGCGCCTCCAGCGCCCCCGCCGGCCCCGCGGCCGCCAGCGTCGCGCCAGGGTCCGCAGCGGCCGCGCCTTGCAGCAGCTTCAGGCAGCAGCAAACGGTGTCCTCGCCCCCGCCGTCCCAGCTGCCGCACCCGTTGCCGCCGCCGCCGCCGCCACCGCCGGGCCGGACGCGGTCTGTCAGCGCCGCCAGGATTTGGCTCAGCGCGGGCGCGTGCGACGCCAGGTCCCGAAACAGCTGGTCATGCGCCTTGCTGGCAATCTGGACCGCGGAGAAGAGCGCAGCACCCTCATCACAGTTGTGCTGCCGCGCCCCCACGCGCGCGGCGGCCGCGAGCCGCGCGGCAACTGCGGACCAGAGCAGGGGCTCCGCGCGCTCGCGTGCGACCGCCCGCGCGACGGCGTTGGCGAGCGAAACGGCACGGGCGCGGTCTGGGGCCGTCAGGTGCACGGCCATCACAGCAAAGGGCTGGTTGTGGAAGGAGCCGTCTAGCAGCACGGCGCGCAGCAGGCCGGACAGCGCCCCGGGTACCTTGGGGTCCGTCGTGTGGGGCGGGTGGGGTTTGCCAGGTGAGGGGCTGGGCCTCTGAGGAGAGGAGGTCGCGGTATGTTCGACCGACAGCTGGCTATTGCTGACGCAGGCTGCAATCAGACGCAGATCGCGGCGCCACACACCTGAAGCACCAAGGCGAAGAGATCGGGATCTGGCGGCTTGCGACCCATCAGCGCGCCGCCCAGCAGAGGCACGTGCTGGGCGAGCGTTGCGTGCGACCCGTGGGGGTGGCAGCAGGGGCAGATGGCCGTGACCGCGTCACTGCAGGTCTCCCACGGCGGCGCGGCGGCAGCGGCGCGCCCCGCTGCGGCGACGGCCTCGGCGAGCGCGCGGACGGTGGCGGGGGTTGCGGCTGCGGGCGCGAGGCGGGGCTGCGCCGAGAGCCATGAAAGCGCGTTGGCCGGGCCGGCATAGCGCGCCATATTGAGCGGCGCAGCGGCCACCGCCTGCGCGAGCTCCGACACCACCTCTGGGGAGACGTGTGCGCCCCGCGAGGCGGCTAGGCGGTCGAGTTCCGCGGGCAGGGCGCTCACGCGCCCTGCCGGCGCGCGGGGCGGCTTGCCGCCCAGAGGCGGCGCGACGGAGCGCTGCGTCTAGGCTCATAGCTGTGCCGCAGCTCCAGATCCTAGATACGGCTGATCTAGTTGTTTGTATAAGTGCGCTGGTGCGCCGGACGTGATATTGCGAAAACTCAAGATCTCGCCTCGGAACGCTTGCTCGCTTTCTGGTAGAGCCCTACCCGAGCTGCGAGATGAATGATGAAGTAAGATCTGCACCTTCAACAAATGGTGCAACACCGTGTGCAGCAGCATGAGATGTGTGCGGCAGCAACGAACAGAACCTCGGCAACTCAGGGCCTTTGGCAACCACCTCGGAACCACGCAGCCGGCCGACCTGCACCCCTCAGGAGTACCAGAAGCACCTTGCCAACTGCCTGCGACAACTGCCATCATCCCAACCACCACCACCACCACCACCACCACCACCACCTTGCTCGAACAGCATGCAAACACCCACGTCCATGCCCTATTGCACATGGAAAAACACCCCGCCGTCAACGCAGCGCCCCGCCACCCCTGCCGCCTCCCCCGGCCGACCAGAGCGAAACATCACTGCAGCAGGCCAGCCGAACCGTCACCGCGCACGGCGCGCCACTCTGCTGCAGGCACCTTGTTGGAAAAACTGCTGCCCAGCAAAACGCCCCCTTGCTGGGGTCCCGCCGCCCTTCATCAGACCCTTCACTGCACTTCGGAGATTCCACATCATAATTGGATGTATCAGAGGCGAAGTAGCGAGGTGAAAACGTGCGGGCATCCACATCTACTCAACACAAGCAGTCACGCCTATCCTCAGGCATGACGGCATCAGCACACAGTTTGTTCATCGACAGCCAACTGCATTCGAAGGGGCATGATCGCGTGATGAAATCAAGATCCGTGCCTAGCTGTTTTGCGAGCCCTTCAGACACGCCCCTCCCCCATTCCTGTGATACCCAAACAACCAGCAGATGTATGATCCACTGGTGTTGAAGTTCAAAGAAACCCGCTGAGCAGCTGCTGTGAAGGTATGGACTTTCCTGAAAATGGTTATTCTTCAGCATGTGTGGACGCATACATAGCGTGTGCCACAAGTAACTTTGTGTGACGCATTTTACAGTGTGTGATTGCCCGAATTGCTCCTGGTTCGCCCAGGATAACACTTGCGCCTGCCGCCCTTGAGGGGTGGCACATTAGTGATGCTGCGCCTAGCACAGGCGTTGCCACTGTTTGGCCTTAAACTCTGCTTCTGACCTGTGCAAAGGCTTGCGTGCTTGTTGATTGCATGAGCCTGAATGCATACAAAAACAGCATCTTTGGCTGCTTTTGCGTGCTGTTCCCCTACTTGACAGCTGCCTTTTGCAGCTGCCGGGCAACTGACATCACCCGTCACCTGAGCGCGGCGCGCTGCGCGCGCGCCCTGTTGGTATTTAAGACCCCCCGCCCAAGGGCAGAGGGCGGTCATTTCATTCCTGACGGCCACAGTGCGGTTGCCGACATGCTTCCGCAACTGTTGTAACACTGTCACATGCCTTTGCCCTAGATTACATGTATAGGACACGTCTGCCCCCGCCAGGCCAGCCCCGGCACTTGATACCGGTAAAGTACGTAACCCAAAAGCCACCCTCGTCACCGTCCTAGGCAGCTACAGACCCCCAAACGCCTCAGGGAACGGGCTCAACACAATCACATTGTGGGGTGTCACGCGCCAGCAGGCGCGGTACACCAAAACTAGCGACACATGCCCTGCTCGCTAATGGCCAATCGAGGAATCCTGGATGTTGGGACTGGGCTGGGCGGCACTACGGTACTGTTTGGCTCTTCAATTCATTTATGTCCTGAGCACCAGCTCTGTAGGGTCCCACGATGCAGTATTGCACCCGTCTTGCTCCCCAATAATTGTCCACCTCCCAGGTCTCTGATGCCACGGTGCAAACGTCAGTAATGGTACATTGGCTCATGAACGAGTCACAGGTGTGCGCATAAGCCCTGCTAGCTGGTCAGGCAGTTGATCGTGTTCACTGGCGCCAACTCTCTCCCGCCCTCGCCGCTTGATAGATCTGTCTATATGATTTGTTCTGTCACAAGAGATTCTGGAGCCGTAATTCGTGGCTATATCAAGCACCGTGCCACAGATCTGGGGCTTTGCCCTTTCCACAGCTAACCCAATTGGCTCCAATACCCATGAACTTGCCCATTTGGCTCCAATACCCATGAACAGGGCCAACCCTCGCCAGAAGCAGGCCCCGTTGCATCCCACTTGCCGGTTTGAATTGGAACGCTGCTGAACCAGCTGACTTTGCCTCCTTTTATATCCGTGGTCACAACCTTATTGGCACCGTCAATCTGAAGTCACGTTTCCCAAATTTCCCAACAGCGACAGTTGCACAGCTAGCTTGTCTACAGGCAGCAGCGGAGCGCAGCGGCGTGCTAGTGAACTCGTGTTGACTCAGTCAGCATCGCCCTAACCAACCCGAAACCAGCAGTCTTGAATGGCAATGACAAATCTCAGTCCTTCTGAGTCACAGTCTAGCAACGAGCAGGTGGGGGAGATGGCAAATGACTCGCACATTGCTTGTCCTGCTCCATGCCACCTACGGCTGCCTCCCACAACTCCCGCACCAGCGTGAGCGGTCAAGACTGCGCTGCAAGGCGCTCGAGGTATTCCTGCGGCAGCGCTCCCGGCATCGCCGGCACCAGCGCCGGCATCTCCGTAAAGTGCAGCTCCATGCAGCGGTGCATGTCACTCTCCACCTCGGAGGCGTAGGGGCAGGGCGCCAGCAGCAGCTCCCGCAGGAACCCTGCCAGTGCGCCTGCCTGGGGGTGTAGGGTGCAGGGTGGGGGCGGCCCCGCGGGTCCTGGATCCGACAACATTGGGCACATCCCGCAACCTTGTGCCAGCACAAATGCATACACCGGATAGGCCAAGTAGCGGAGTAGCTGTTGATGTGTCGCTCAGGGGCACAGCCCAGCACGAACGCCGTGGTGTCTGAATCGTACGCAGGCCCCGTGAAGCCGCTCACCTGCAGCGCGCGCTCCAGCGGTGGCATGTTCGATAGCGCCCCAAAGTTGACCGCAAAGGGGTTGCTGGGTGGCGTGCTGACATTCATGTTGACCAGCTCCTCCAGGATGTGCCACACGCGGTGCCCTACATGAGCGGCGTGTGTGCAGGAGGCTCGGTGGTGTGCAAATCGTGGCATCAAGGGCAGCCTCTCAAGCCGATAATCAAGGCATGGCTGCTGTGCAAGTCTGGCTGGCGCAATTTTCTGGTGTGATCTGCTGCCAATCACCAGCTGGGGCATGCGACTCACCCTGGTTCTTCCAGTCCTTAGTAGAGGGCAGGTCCAGCGGCGCATCAATGTCGTCCAAGGACTTGCCGCGCGCGCGCGACCGCAGCTGGCCGGCAGATGGGCGAGGGTCAACGGGGCAGACTTTAAAATGCAGAGCAAGCCTAGCTGGGTAAAGCCAATGCTTCCCGCCAGCCAATGCTTCCCGCCAGCCTTCATGAGTTGCATAGTCGCCTGCCAGCAACGCACCACGGTGTGCTGAGGGTCGCACCCCAGTTTTGACGTGGGCCACCCACCCATACGTAGGGCCAGTTGTACTTGGCATAGGCACCGATCAAGAACACAGTCACCTGCACACTCGGAGATGTATGTGCAGAACATGGCAATGAAAGAGGGTCGCAAATTGCTGGGTGGAAAGGCACCCCTGCTGAGCCTGGCCCAGCCGACACAAAGCTAGGTCACCTGCCGGTGACTGCCCTTCCCCAGGTGTCATCTTTGCTTAGCACCCCCCTTGCCCCACGCACCTCCGGGTTGCTGACATCCTGCTCATGCGACGCCGGGCTTGCTGGCGGCAGCGGGTTGTTGGCGGCACCGCTGCGAGGGGGACGGTGGTGGCAGTGCTGCAGCTTGCGTTGCACATTGGCTGAATGCACACCGTCACGGCACCCAGTCAGCTGGGATCTGGGGCTGCAGGTGGCAGCGCATCAGCTAGACAAACAACTCTGCCTTGCACCTTGCAACCGCGGCCCTTTCAACTGGGAAAGCCAAATCATCACCTCACCCAATGCTGCCGACACGGGTGATTGGGGGCTGCTGGCTGGCGGGGATAACGCCGTGGTATATCGTCACCACCAGCTCCTCGCGGCCCTTGAGATACAAGGAAAAGTGGGAGAAGCACTGCGCGCACACGAGCGCAAAGGGCGGACAGGCCATTGCTGAGGAGTGGTGGCACAGCTGCAAGCACAGGCAGAGTTGTGGTACGACACAGCTGCGTCGCGCCTGCAATGGTGCGCTCGGCAAACGGTGAGTCCTGCTGCTACGCACCTTCAGGTTGCCCACGCGCAGGCAATCCCTATAGAACTGGTCCAACGGCCCCTTGTTGCTCATGGCTGCCCCTGCTGCTGCTGCCGCCGCTGTTGCTGCGGCTGCTGCTGCTGCTTCCGCTGCTGCCGCGGCTGCTGTTACTACTGCAGCTGCTGCTGCTGCCGTTGCTTGCCACCGCTGCAACACGCGATGGATTCGCTGGAGTGAGTGCTAAAGCTATTACCGGCGCCGCCGCCGCCGCTGCCGCCGCCCCCGCCGCCGCTGCTGCTGTTGCGGCGGCTGCTGCTGCTTTGCGGTCAGGGCCCGCAATCTGGATGCGGGCTCGCGCTCCAGTCGCTGCTGCTGCAGCGCTGTCCCTGGGCCGGCGCAGCTTCCCAGCTACTCCTGTGGTCGCCTCCGATCCTCAGGCAATTGAAATATTGATCTGATACAGCACCACCCAAGGCTTCGGCAAAGTACACTGGCAACCAGCGCTGATTGCAGTGGCTGCAGCGTGCTGCAACACGTGCACTGGTCAACAGAAGCGAAAAGCACCAACTGCGCAAGCTTTCAGCTTGTAGCGTGGGTATGAATGAAATCAAAGCAACACCCACGATCACTGAAGACAAGGCGACCGGAGCAAGGCCCATAGCCTGTTCGTTGCGTCAGCAGCTTCCCCGCCTTGACTTCGCCCGTGCTTTACCGTACCGTGCGGTTGCTGAACAACTCAACAGTTACGCTTCACGCCATCTGCCACGCCGCATCTCGTCCTCTTGGCCACTCCCGCCACCCTGCACGACCACCACCTCGATACCCCATGTCGCTCGCCACCATGCGCACTGGCCGCATCGCCACCTCCAAGGCGCAGAGTATAGGGTCGTCCGCTTTCAGCAGCCGTGCATCGCGCAGGAGGGGCCTTTGCGTGCGCGCGACAACGGGTGCGTTTCTTGACGCCGCGCTTCGCGTGGCTCAGGGCCCATTAAAAGCATCGCTACAAGTCCTTGCTTATGCTGACTTGTGGCTCACTCCGCTTCACGGTGTGATCTAGTTTGCCACGGGCTGAGCCACACACACTCACGCCCCTTGCACGGCCTGCTTTTCCTGCCTGCAGACGCGGCGGAGCCTGACGCGGCGGTCATTGACAAGAACCTGGAGCTCATGCGCCACTTCTCGGAGCAGTATGCACAAAGGTGCGCGGTTTGGCGCGCATTGCCGCCGCTGCTGTCACGCTTCCATCGTGCCGCTGCCTAGCGTCTGTGCTGTGACGGCTTACAAATCATTGAGTCGGCAAGGAGAAAGGCCAGAGGCAGCCTTGGGATGACGCGGCGCGCTGGAGCGGCGACCCTGCTGCGCGACCCTGCTGCGCAGGTTGTGCTGGGGTGCTGCACACTGGTCAGTCGGGCTGCGTACCTTGCCAGCTCTCTGCTGACACCTTACCCCAGGATTCTGAATAACTTGTCCGCCTGCATGTGACTGGGCAGGACGGGAACGTACTTTTGCGTGGACAAGTCGGTGACGGCTGTTGTTATCCAGGGGCTGGCAGAGCACAAGGCGTCCCTGGGCGCGCCGCTGTGCCCCTGCCGCCACTATGATGACAAGGCGGCTGAGGCTGCCAACGGCTTCTGGAACTGCCCATGCGTGCCTATGCGCGAGCGCAAGGTAGGCTCTGGGGCTGGCGTCGTCGTGCTGCAGCGCTCCGCTGGATGGTGTTCCAGGACGCATTATTTATTGAGTCGCAGTGGGCAGTCGTGGCGGTTTTAAGCCCGGCACCTGCAGCAGCGGTTGTCCTGTCTACGGGCATGCATGCTGTGATGTCGTCAGGGCGCTCTTACGCCATTCACGTGACTGAATGTCCTCGCCGCGGTTCTCCCACTCGCGCCGCCTCTGCCCCTAGGAGTGCCACTGCATGCTCTTCCTGACGGAGGACAACGATTTTGCCGGGCGTGAGCAGGAGATCACCCACGAAGAGGTCATTGATGGTGAGAATTATTCTCACACTGGGGGCACCAGCTGCATGTGCGCCGGCTTACTGACTGATCCGCACGGCACTAATTCGCTGTCGTTGGCACAGTGGTAGAAACGGCGTGCATGCACACAACATCAAATCTTGGTGCTGTTCCGCCCTTCCATTCCCGTCACACCTGAAGGTATCAAGCACATGATGTGAACGCAGCCACGTTTCGTTACGTTGAGGCAGCTTTGAATGCTGCCAGGGCTCCCAGTGGCGTACTGGACCGCTGCCATTTGGGTGTTTGAGTGAAGTGCCAGCGGTGTGTACAGTCTGCCTCAGGCCGCCTGACTACGGGTTCGTGCAAGGCATTTGTTCGCACACCCAGTGGGGCAGCTCGTCGAAATTTTCAGAGGCCCATGTGGGTGGCCAGAGCGCCCTGGCTGTCTGAAGTTTCAACAGCTTTGCGTGTGCATGGCATCCTGCAGCATGCTTGACAGTGGTGAGCATGAGGTCGCCGGTAGCCAAGTTCGATAGCAGTTTGATTTCGCAGCTGTGGGTAAGAAGCTGATTGCAATGGTGCAATGGCGCACACTGCTGTCGCTTCCACAACATTTTTTCCGCTGCGCCACATGTTGCTTTCGTGTTCGCCGGCTGGGGCGTGCCAGCTCTTTGTATTTTTCCCTCCCCCATCCCGTTTTTCAAACAAGGTAACACATCATTGTGCCGCACAGTATTTCCTTTTAAGGACGGGGCAGACGCGCAAAAAATGCGTAGTTTTCCAGTTTTGGGTGTCAGTCGAGTGTGTTGGCTGGCATCCCAGACCCTTGTAGCGCAGCAGCAACAGCATACACTTTGTTCGTGACGTTGATGCGGTCATCAATCTTCAGCCAGTTGAGTGCGAAGGGTGCTCCAGGTTGGGACAGCATAAACGACACTTGCAGGTCGGGGACAGCTGTGTCGGGTGATGGCGGTTGCACCACATCGGCTCACTTGGGGCGCTGAGCCCGGAACAGTACGACATCATAAATGATGCTGACCTCCTCTGAGACTCTTCCTGTCGCCATTCAAACCCCCCACGGCATGCCTGCGGGACGCGGGGATGTATCGGTGTCACCGCTGGTCCTGAAGTTGTGCTGCGTGCGGTACCCAATTGCTGATGCATCGCGCTCCTCATTACATGCGAATGCGCATGTCGAGCAGTGACGATCAGGCGCTCTGATCTGATCGCTTCCATTTGTGTGGGGCCGCGCCTCGAGCGTGTACAGCGTGGATTTTGATGTGCTGAGCTTAGCGTCAGTCCCACCGGAGGAAGGGGCTGTCCCGCCGGTGGGCAGCAGAGCGCGCCACAGGCGCCCCTGAACGCTATGGCGCATCAGACAGGGGCGTGGGGCGATCAAGGTGGTGGGATGCATCCTGAACTTGAAGAGGACAGCGAGGAGGGGCAGGAGGACGATCTAGACCTCGATGAGCAGCACCCTTTCCCCAGTGACGAGTATATGGCCCTGGCAGACAGCCTCACGCAGCTTCACGTGGCCAACTTTGCTCCAGCAAGGCTCGCCGAGGCCGTTGCAGCTGCAGGTGAGCGTTTGCATCGCACGAACGTCAACTGTGTCGTGCTGGCGGTGCTGTGTCCCGCATGTCATGGCTGCATTGCTTTGGTGAACCCCTTCTGCTCACCATCTGCCTTGGATGTTTCACCCACCTTCCGGTGCTGATATCATGTACGCAATGCAAACTCAGAGCACATCTTCAAGGGCCGCAGGGGCAGGTGCGGCGAAGAGGGGCGCGGCGCCTGATCAGGGTTGGAGGGCCGCACTTGCACTGCGCGTAGCAGCTGTGCGGGCTGCTGCCGTGCTGTCTGCACCCTAGGAGCCAGCCGCCCACCTGACATGGGCCAAGCATGTACCTGCGTCTCTGCCCGCGCGTGCTCCTGCCCAACCTGCGCTAGGCTGCGCCAAGGCGACCTCGAGGCCGTGCGCAAGCTTCTGCGCGACGGCATCGCCTTTGGGTTCGACAAGGTGCTGCGCGACCAGCACTTGTTCAGTACATCCAACTCGAGCGAGGAGGAGGAGCTCTTCCATGCGCTGCTGGCGCTGGTCGAGCTCGCTGCGATGCTGCTCGATATGCGGGCAGCTGGCTGCGTTTCCTCGCAGGCGCCCCAGCAGCTGCAGCAGCAGCAGCCCCTTAAGGCGCAGCACTCACCGGCGGCCTCGCAGCTGGCTGAGCTGGATGGCGAGCTGCTGCAGCTGGTGGGCCTCCTGGTGTCGCTGTTCAGCCGCGAAACGCCGTTGCACGACTACCATCAGACCTCGGACCTGCCCCTGGACGGCGACCCAGGTCAATGGCAGTGCAAGTGGGCGGAGCCCATCATTGCGGCAGAGATGGGGCCGCGTGGAGGCTGGGCTCGGGGTGGCGGCGGCGGGGGTGGTGGTGCGCGCGGCGGGATGAGCGACGGCGACGAGGACGAGGACGGGCTGTTTGAGGAGAGCGACCGGGAGCACGAGTGGCTTGTGCACCTGATCAACCATTTTGGATACCAGGGCGGCTTCGACGCCATCTACGTCGTGCGTGGGTCTGGGCGTGCATGCAGCAGTCGTGCGTGCATCGAGCAGCTGTGAGCGGCAGTGCCTGCAGGGTCTGCAGGGTAGATTGCATGCAGCAGCTTGTCATGGCTGCGGGTGGCAGCGCCCTGTGGCGTCAAGTACTCCGTGAGTCCTGTTGTGCCGCAGCACACCACCTGCTTTGCTGCCAGACAAACTTCTGCTGTCGGACCTACCACCTCCCTTGTCACAGTTGGTGACCTCCTTTCACGAGTGCAACCTAAACATCCACATGGTGGCAAGCCTCATGCTTGTGCTGGCCAAGGTGGGGGAGCTCATGCCCAGCCTGGTGCTCAAGCACTTCAGAGAGGTGGGTGCGCTGGGGAGCCAAGCATTGCTGGGGGCGGCGTGGCTGATGCTGGGCAACGCACAATGAGCAAGTGGGATCCCTGCGGTCCCTCACAACGCCTGTATCTTTTTGCCGCGCCGACCTGCGTCAGCCCCAGCAAGCCGCCAAAGGCAGCATCACCCCTGAATCCCTCTGTGCGCGGCACCAGGCGTCGGCCACCTTCATGGAGCGCCTGGCGCCGATGGCCGCCGTTGACGACGATTTCCTATCAGATCAGGGCCAGGACCGCACCTACCAGACGCTGCGCCACCTGCTGTACGCCGCCGGCGAGCTGATGTCTGCGCAAGGCCACGAGCTGGCGGCCGACGAGGCGGCGGCACCAGTGCAGCAGGCGTTTGTGCTGCGCATGATGGAGTCGACAGCCTTCGTCAAGCAGCTCAGCGGCGTGAGGGAGCTGCGGTGGGCGCTGCGGCGCGTGACGATGCTGCCGGACGGCGCGCCGAGGGATGCGCGCGTTCAGGTGCGGGGAAGCCGGGAGGTTGGGGGTTGAATCCCTGCAGGTCAGCGGCGGCCTGGCCCCATTGCCAGGGCCGGGGGGGGGCTCTCTAGCCGACATGCTTGACGGGAAAGCAACATGTCATCCCCAGTCAGTAATACTGCCTTGTCAATTTCGGGCTTGCCTCCCACTTATGTTGGCCCCATTTGCCGGCGCAGGCATTTGTTGAGTGGATGGAAGAGAACCGCCTGGTCGAGCGCATGCTGCGCGCCAACCTGCACCAGCGGCAGTACATGCAGCAGGTGAACGCGCCTCGTAGACCCCGTGCTCTGTGGGCGGCTCGCTTGCAGTGGCCACAATGCAGCAGCAGGCTGCCTGCTTATTTCTCAGCAGGCTCAGCCGTGCCCCAAGTTGAGTGGTGACGCCCCGCAGCAAAGCGCGTGCCTTGCCGTGCGTGCCTCTCACTGAGGATGGGCCCCCTGCGACTCACCGTTGACGCCATCGCTGCCCCCAGGTCAACATGATACTCTGCGACCTGACCACCGTCGGCGCTCTGACCAACGCGCACCTGGACCAGCTTTGGGGCGTCACAGAGCAGGAGGGCACCTACGAGGGCGTCAAGGCGCACGTGTATGAGGGACTGGCGGAGCTGGTGGCGGGCTTCAGCTCAGAGCAGGTGAGGGCCGCTGGACGGGAGAAGGCATCGGCCGTGCCGCGAGCCAACAAATGATTGCTCAGGCCCGACTGCGCAGACCGAGCCGCGCAGGTTGCGGCGGCGTGCCCGCGTGCCTGCTGGTGGTGTGCCGCCATGGCGCCTCACCCATGGTTTCTGCCCGGCCCCTGCGCTGCTCAGGTGGACTTCCTGTTCAGCAAGATGGCGGCGCGCCGCGAGCGCAGCGCCCTGGACACCTCGAAGCTGCTGGAGCTGCTGCACCGCCTGGCAAAGTCTGACGAGCAGGTGCGGGTTTGGCCGTGAGCGCCGCTGGCCTGGCTGGGGCTGTTGTCGACCCCATGTCTCCGCCCTACCGCCCCGCTGCAGCGTGCGCGTCCAGCACCCCTACTGCCGCAGGTCCTGCGGGCGTTCCTCCTCCTGCATGAGACTTTATGTAACGTGGCCGTCCCCTCTCAACGAGTATCCACCTCCTGAACACCACCCTCACGCCCCAATTCAACGGACCAGTGCAACCTCGCCAGCCGCATCATGGGCCTCACGTGGGACATCGCCCTCGCAACGGGCGCCCCGCGCACCGTCGTCGAGGCGGGCGCCAAGCAGCTGGCAGAGGTGGCGGCGGAGTACGCCGAGCGCAGCGGCAACACAGCCCACCTGGAGGGCCTGGTGAAGCGCTGCATCATTGAGCTGCGCGCTAGGCACAACCATGTCCCCGCGGTCAAGATACTGGTGCACACCGTGGAGTGCTGGGTGGCCGCCTGGAACCGGCAGCGGCGGGTGGGTGTGGTGCAGGCGAGGCAGGGTGGGCATGGAGGCAACTGGACTGTTCAGCCGGCATGCCGAGGGCTGCATGGGTCAAGCCGCATGGAGGCCCGTGGCAGCCGCTTGCGCCCCTGAGCCGGTGCCACAAGTGCCGTCTGCCCATCTTCGCTCCGCTCCGCTCAGCTCCGCTCTGCTCTGCCCGCGCCCCGCCCTCCCCTCCCCTGGGCCCTGCCCCGGCGGCTCCTCTTTGGCTTCCTCGGCCCTGGGCGACCTCCTCCCCAGCCTGTCTCACCACCACCCATTCCCACCCAACCTGCTAAACCTCGGCAGAGGGACAACCTGGTGGACAAGCTGGAGGCGCAGTTGCACCTCATAGACTTGCTCGTCAACAATGTGGCAGTCATAGCGCAGGAGGCGCGTGCCTTCCTCGCCCAGCAGCAGCAGACGCAGACGCAGACACAGGCGCAGCAGCAGGCTGCCGCCGCCACCGCCTCGCCCGTGGCGCCTGTGGCCTCGCCAGCTCCGCTGCCGCCGGGCGAGGGCGTGTGGAGCCACCTCGATTTGGTGCAGTCGTACCTGGCGGCGCTGCAGCGGCTGTACGAGCGCAGCCAGTCCTACGTCCTCGCACAGGACGCCGACACCCTGTGGACCGAGCTGGTGCAGGGCGCCGCCACGCGGCCGGTGTTTGCGCGCGCGGTCGCGTTCTTCAGGGCGGCGGTGGCAAAGGACGCGAAGGACTCCTGGCTGGAGCAGAGCGAGATCGCGGCGCTGCTGCGGCGCGTGCCGGCGCTGCCGCCGCATCTCGTGACCAAGGAGGTCTTTTGGCTCACCTGGACCATGTTCACGATGGTGGGCCGTGGCCTGGCAGCGCGCCCAACCAGGGAGGGCCGCTTGGGCTCTCGGCCCTGGCTTTCGCGCCGCTTGCTCTGCAGTGTGGTTCTGTGGAAGAACCCGCTTTGCAGCAGGTGCAGGCCCGCTGCACGGGGCGTCCACTTCTTACCCTATTCCTGCTGCCTGCCCCGCCCGCATGGCCCCAGGTGCACAAGGACCGCATGTACTGCGAAGCCACCACCAACAGCAATGGCGGGCGCCTCATGTGGCTGCTGAGGACGTCGGACAACACCCCGGCGTCGGACATTGAGGGTGCGTGCCCAGCCGCGACTTGCAGGGCTGCCCGCCTTGACTGGCACGGGCGCGGCAGACTCTCACTGCGCTCACCGGTGCCAGGCCTGCGGTCATTCGCAGGCTGGGACCCTTGGCTCGGCCACATAGCGCCTCAATCTCGTGCCACAGTTCATCTGCGTTGCGCCGGCGCGACCCCACGCTCATTTGCCCCTCCGCCTCAAAGACCTGCCGCACTTCTGGGGGATGTACGAGACTTGCACCAGCGACGCCGTGGCCAACCTGTGCCGCAAGAAGCTGCTCGAGCTCTACCACTGCACAGACAACCTCATCTTCGACCATGAGCATTTCAGGGCCGCTTTCATAGGGTGAGGCGCGCACACGCACACGTCCCCCCACGTGTATGTCCCTCGCCTGGGAGCTGGCATGCCTTGACGGACAGCACATGGCGCCCCTGCACCGGATTCGGGACCCCCACCTCCTGAAACTTGGGCACTTGTCTTTGCTCAATCCTCATTTTCACGCTTGTGCAGGGAGGTCACGCTCCGGCTGGAAAGTGCAGTAGCTGACCTGGACAAGCACGACCTGCAGCAGCGAATCCCGCAGCAGCAGCAACAGCAGCAGCAGCAGCAGCCGCAGCCGCCTGCCCCAGCGGCGCATGCAGCTGCGCAGCGCGTGACAAGGATCCTGGAAGTGATAGGGCACGCCTTCTACGCCTGCGCGGTGAGATGAGCTGCTTAGCCATGCCACGTGATACCCTCCGCTAGCGAGTGCGCCCAGCTGCAGGGCCGCGTGCGCAGCCGCAGGGCTTCTGGCGGCTTGCTAGCCGACTGGCCGCCGGCAGACAATGCATTCCCCATGCTTGGAAGCGGTGCCGCTGATGGTGCTGCTGAACGCTCCTGATCTTCGCTCCTGATTTCTGTGGGTTATGCAACTGCCTTGCCCCTCAGGAGGCGTCCATGCCGTGTGTCCCCGCGCATAAGCTGTCGTGGCAGGGCAGCCCTGTCATGGTAGATATTCACGGGCAGCAGCAGCCGCGGATGCGCCTGGCCAGCCACACCAATGAGTATGTGGGCTGCCTGCGCGCCAAGGTCGCGCACGCGATGCTTGGTGGCGTGTCGCCCGCACGAGTGCGGCTCTTTCAAGCGGGTGAGTGGGCACAGGCAACTGGGAAGGTGCTTCATCAATCGCAGCCACCATGCAGCCAGTTGTGCATTGATGATTCCCTTCCTGAGGGCTCCCTTGAGTTACATGCCAGCACCCTGGCATCTCGCATCCCATGTATGTCCCTGTCGCTTCTGATGGCTCCAGAGCCGCATCCCTATCTTGAAGGCACGCGCCTCTATTGCAACTGCAGCTCCCTCCTGACATTCTGTCTCGGCCATGCGCTTGCTTGGAAAGCTCGCTTCTCAGACCTGAGAAGCCCATCTATGAATGCTGCCCTGCCTTCGCGCTGCTTACCTTCCCTCCCCTCTCCTGCACCCCTGCCCTCATGTTGCTGTCCCTTGCGCTCGCTCCTGCATCCTCGCGTCTCTCTACTGGCCAGCCAATGCCTTTCAACCCCCCTCCACACCTCCCCCCCTCTGGCGCACTCCCGTACGCGCCCCCCCAAAAGGCAAGGAGTTTGACAACGACTCGGTGACGGTGGGCGACCTGGACATCCGCGGCACGCGTCAGGTGGTGACTGTCCAGCTGTCCATGACGGACAACAATTGCACGGTGCCGCTGGAGGAGATGCGGCCCACGTGGGAGCAGCGCAGCCCCGAATGGCTGCTGTCACGGCAGGTGAGCATGGTGGGGTCGGTGGGCGGCGCCATTGGCCGGCTGAACCGGCCCTCTCTCACTTCAGGGCTTTGCGCAACACTTGCTTTGCCTGGTGGTGCTGCAACCTGCATTGCTGCAGGTACAGGGGGCAGACACCGCGTCTTCTCCTGCTGTGTCTGCACGGTGCGCTGACCACTGCCTCTCGCCATGCCTCACCCGCCTTACACTAGCCACGCATCTTCGAGCTGCTGTTGCATGTCAGTGACAGCCCATACGCCGCCCAGCTGGCTCCTCTGGCCCTTTCTTTGCTCCAGAAGATGCCTACCAGCCCTGCCCTGGCAGCGCAGGTGCGAGCAGGGCTCGAGCAGCAGCAGCAGCAGCAGCAGCAGCAGCAGCAGCAGCAGCAGCAGCAGGAGCAGCAGCAGCAGCAGCAGCACCAGCGGCAGCAGCAGCAGCGGCAATGCCAGCCGCTCGTGGAGCAGCACCAGCAACTTACGGGTCCACTCGAACGGGCGCTGGCCGGGGAGCCCAGCACCAGCAACGCTGGGAGCAGCCACAGCAGCAGCATCAACGATGGCGGGGGCGACAGCAGGGGCAGCAATGGCAGTGTGTCACACGCCTACCAGGTGCTGTACAGGATGCAGGCCCTGGCCGCCCTGCTCTTCCCCTCGGCCCTTGAACCGCCATGCGAGCCCGACGCCGAGGGCGCCGGCTCGGCGGGGCGCCGCGCGCTGCAGGAGCGGTTCCTCGCGAGCGACGGCCTCCGGGTGGTGTGCGGGCTGGTGGACAGGCTGGTGGCGGCGCGGACTGGCGACGCGGCGCTGCTGCGGGAGCTGGGGCAGCTGGTGGTGGTGCTCATCCACAACCTGATGGACGCCGCCACGCCGAGGCCCTTGGCCGCCGGCCCGGCCCTGTCGCCCGTGGGCGCAGCCGGCCCAGCCGAGGCCGCAGCGGCCGCCATCGCGGCGGAAGCCGTGGCCGCGGCGGCAGCGGCGGCAGAGGCGGAGATGGGGGACAGCGCCATGGCCGACGTCGAAGAAGCCAGCGACGCCGCTGCGGGGGGCGAGGCGGCGTTGGCGGTGGCCGCCGCTGCCGCTGCGGCGGGCGCGGGGCTGGGCAGCAGCAGCAATGCAACGCCGGTGCGGCTCGCGGAGCTTGGGGCGTTAAAGGACGCAGACCGGGCTTCGCGGCCGGGGAGCGCCGAGTCTGACGAGACTGAGGCGGCTGCGGCGGTGGCAGGGGTTGGCACACATCCGGCCAAGGCAGGCACCGGCCCCGCGGCCGCCGACGACAAGCAGCACGCGCCTGACCAGCGGCAGCAGCCGCTTACACTGCCGCCGCGTCTGCGCGCGCCGCCGCAGCCGGTGCAGCGGCCGGCGCGCGCCGCCGCGCCGCCGTCGCTGAGCCTGGATGCAGCGACGCTGCGGCTCATGTCGCGGACGCTGCTGCAGCTGGCTGTGCAGGGCGCGCGCCTCTGGGGCGCGCCGCCAGCACTGGCCGCGCCCGACCCCGACTCCGATACCGGCTCGGACGTCGCGCTCGTGCGCGAGGCGCTGTCGCTGCTGCAGCGCGCGCTCGACCTGCGGCCCGAGCTGCTCGCGCCCCTGCTGGCGCCCGGCGGCGGCGGCGGCGCCATCGTGACGGACCTGCTGCTCAGCCCGCACTACCAGGTTGTGCGTGCGGTGGCCGAGGACTCCCTCGCCCGCGTCTGCTGCGCCGCGCCCGAGCCGCTGGACTGGCTGCTGGCGCAGCTCTCCGCCGCGCGCCCGCTGGCCGCGGCGCGGCCGGGCGCCAGCGGGCAGTTCTACCGGCTGTTCGCGCGGGCTGTGCGTGCGCTGCAGGGCGTGGAGGGTGTGCCGCAGGGGGCGTATCTGCGGGCGGAGGGGCTCCTGGCCGACGAGGTGGCGGCGCTGCAGGCGTTACCACCGGCGGGAGGCGATGACGAGAATGTTGCGCTCGAGGTAGGGGCCTTGCATTGGGGATGGGTGCGGTGCCGCACGATTGTGGAGTTTTGATTCGAGCGCGTCAGACGCGCGCTCACATGTGTGTGTATGTGTGTGTGTGTGTGCACGCGGATGCGCGCTGAATCTCAATGACTGTCCCGTCCTGCAATCCACCTGCACAGGCAGGCTGCGCCAACGCGCAGTGCCCCGCAGCCGCCGTCCCCCTTGCCCCACCTGCTCACCCTCCCTTCTGCACCCCTCCTCCACCCACCCGCGCAGGGCCGCCTGCAGCTGCTGCTGGCCCTCGTCACGACCCTCGACCGCCGCTGCGTGGGCGCGGGCCGCGAGGCGGGCCTGATCCAGCTCCTCATATCAGAGTACCTCTTCCCGCAGGCCCGCCTCGCGCAGGACGAGCGCGCCGGCCGCCTCGTTCTCGCCCAGTGCGGCGCCCGCCTGCGCCCGCGCTGCGCGGCGCCCGGCGCGCGCCGCGCCGCGCTGGAGCTGGCGGCGGAGCTGATGCGCGAGGGGACGGGGCCGCTGGAGGAGGGCGTGCGGTGCCTCGAGGCGCTGCTCGGCGCGGCGTCGCCCACCGAGTTCCACCTCGCGCCGCCCAAGCACGTGCGGCGGCCGGGGGACTACTGCGGCCTGCGCAACGCGGGCGCGACCTGCTACATGAACGCCGTGTTCCAGCAGCTGTACATGCAGCCCCGCATCCGCGCGCTCATCCTCGGCGCGCCAGAGGTCCCGGAGCCAGAGCGCCCAGACTCGGTGTTCGCGCAGCTGCAGGCGGTCTTTGCGTCGATGGCGCTGGGGCTGGCGTCCTTCATGACGCCGGACGGGTTCTGGCGGGCGTTCAAGGACTACGACGGGCAGCCCATCGACACGCGGGAACACCAGGACGCCTACGAGTTCTTCACCAGGCTGCAGGTGCGGGGGCGCCGCGCCTAGGGGCGCAGCTGGGCGCCTACCGCCTGCCTGGGGTCTTGGGGGTTTGGGGTCGAGTGAGGCCCCAGGGCAGCTGCGGCGTGGCGCAGACCACCAGCCACAAGGCAGCTGCTGCGGGGGGGGGGGGGGTCCTTGGAGGGGCGGC